CCTCCCCCCCAGCCCCCTGCCGAACATCCCCATCTGGCACAGATCGGCACCCATAGCAAGACTCATGGCCCCTTCAGCACGGTTGTTGATGGCGGTCGCATTGGTCGACCCGGCGAGAGGTAGAGAAAGAAGAGGACAGCTTACGGAAGCGAGCGGGGAAGGAGGAACAGGCGATGGTGTGGGCGATGGTGTGATGGGGGTATCATGAAATCGAAGAAGGCAGGTTTTTGATGGAAAACTGTTGGGATGGAGGTCAGCTGGCCTGTTTGTGCACGCCCTGTGGAGCGCAACGTACAAATTGAGGAATCGTTTGCCGAGAGCTAAAAAACATTGAGGCATTAGCAAGCAGCCTGTAATGGATAGCCAAAAAACCACAGCGTACCATTCAGGTTGGATATGGACAGGTCACCGGCAGGAGCACCTGCCCGGTCGAATGGGGACGTGCAGTAGTCAGCAAAACGAAGAAAACGGGCTGAAAATGCGTAAAGGAACTCACAGGGGCAACTGAGAGCAAAAGGTAGTTCACAACTGAGGTGAGCATAGCTGAGAACGGTCAAAAACGAATAATCACGATAATCTCTGTATAAATGCAAACAGGAATCAACAACAACGGGACGGATGGATATGCGGCGCTCGGCGTTTCGGTGTTTTATTTGATTCCGAGATTGTGGCACCGGCCCAGTTTATCCCTCCCCCCAAACAATTTTTCAACCCGGGTCACAGTCGCAGTTTCCGGGTCAAAAAGTCACGGTTTCTGGGACCCGGGCATTTTGGATTTATATTTTATGACCCGGGTATTATAAAATAAATCTCAAAAGAAATACATTCGACATCACTGTCGGACATGGCCGACACATCGAGACGGACGGGATCTAATCGGGTCCAGACGTTCCCAGGGCCAGCCACGTGCTTATCTCTGAGCCCTGCCCTGACCCTGAGGCCGCCAGTTTAAGACCGCAAGGTTGAGAACGCCAAATTGAATTCCCCTATTGTTCACGCTCATTTTTGCTGTTGTTGTTGATGTTGTTGTTGTTTTTTTTTTTTTTTTTTTTTTTTTTTTTTTTTTTTTTTTTTTTTTTTTTTTTTTTGGTTTTTGTTTCAGATGAATATCTTGATCAAGCCGAATGCGGAACCATTGCGGAATCTCAGAATGCTCGTGGTGATGCGTGTAGCGCACAACTCTTAATCTGTTGGAATGCGGTGGTGTCGGAGTAGCTGTACTGTGTCTCTGGAGCCCGTGAAGGGTAAATAGCGGCTCTATGTGCTGGATGGTTGGATGTAGAGATGTAACTCCTTATCCAACTTAAGACCTCAGCTGTCATGTGGCGGAAACATTCCGCCTGTTTCCACCACATGATCTGGCTCGACGCAAGCCCCGCGCGTCGGCTGGAGGAGTCACGACGGAGGGGCTTGTCGCTAGGTGCCAAAAAACTCGAGAGCTTGCAGCCTGACAAAACAGTTTTTTGTCCATAACAATTCTGTCCATGCATGCATGGTGTTGATTTTTCTCCGCATATGTCGCGCCGTCCACAGCTACAGATCCATGTAGCCAAATGTGCTGAATGCATGCTAGAAGTGGTGAACTCAGCATCCGGCCCTTACGCTCAGGACTGCCTCTCAGGGTCGAGGCTGAAATCCGGACTCTGAGGAGTATTAATCCATTCTAACTTCATTATATATTGGCCAGCTAACTCCTCTCAGGGTCAGCTCATTGTAATTTGGCTTATTTAGGCTCTCGCGCCGTCAGCTTACTGTAACTTGGCTGATTTCCGGCACCGTGACGCGGCTGGAGAGGTGTATTTTGCAGGCTTGTCACTTTTTCATATCAATATTGCTGTCCTTACAAAACTGGTAGATGCATGAAACACATTGGGCTAGGTATGACCTGTGGCTACTTGTCACCGAAACAATGGTGCTGATCGCATCAGCGGTTGTTGAGATGCATGCTTCTTAAGCACTCAAAAAACGGGTGATAGTTTGCAGGCTCTCGATTATTATGGGACCTAGCGACAAGCCCCTCTCCGCGGGACTTTTACGTCAGCGAACGAGGGGCTTGTGTCGAGCCAGCCACATGATGGTCCGCCCAAAGTACATGTAATTACATAACTACCAATTGCTAATGTGCGCAGCGTACTTAATCACACAGTGTAATGTACCTAAATACCAAGTAAGATAAATTAACCGGATGAGCAGCAAAAGCCACTGCATCACAATCCCAACCCTGGAATCATAATGCATTGTTGGTATTTGGACTTGTTAACTCGCGCCCCGGGACCTGACCACTGGATCCTTACACACAGATTCCAATAGATATCATTA